TTGACCTACATTCGAGCCACGTCCACTTTTTGGCAAAAATGGAAATGGCCATAAGTCAGTCCAGGTTCAATGGATTTTGCTCATTTCTGGTATGTGAATGAATGGGGACTGGCCCCAAAACATATCACACAGGTTTTGATTTTTTTTTAATTATGCTGCATAGTGAAATTGCCAAAATCTACCTAATTTTTTCAGTGTTTGCCTACGGTCAACGATAACTCAAGAACCGTTTGACCCACATGTTTCAAATTGCATATAGTTGTTACTCCTATGGGAGAGGTTTGAACGTCCTATTCTGGAGCACACCAGTCAACCTACTTTCGAGCCACACCCACTTTTTAGCAAAAATGAAAATGGCCATCTAAATTCATTCGATTTTGTTAAATTTTGGTATGTGAATGTGTAATGCTAGCCCCAAAACAGTTGTTACTCCTATGGGAGATGACAACGTCCTATTACGTTTATTTCGTCTAACTGGTTAACAACTCTACAATCATACCTATATATACATTTAATATTGTGTTTTAGATTCTTCGTTACAGTAATTTGACTGGAACATTTTATTGTTTTTATTTGCGCGATATTCGAAAACCAAAAGGGCGATCATTTAGGCGTAGCGCCATCTCTCGTCAAGATTTCAGACTTTCAGATCTGAAACATTTATTTTCGCATCAAAACTTATGCATATATCATTATCAAGAGTATATAATGGGAGATATGCTATATAATGGGATATATCCCATATATACTCTTGCTTTATATATCCCCCCTCCCTCTTCTATCACACCCAAGGTGAGCTGCAGTGTCATTGACACTTTCATTCAAAATGGTTTGAGACTGGTAATTATTTTAGTCATATTCAAAACTGCATGTGTATGCTTGTGTGCGTGTGGATGTACTGATGTATGTATGTTTGTTGTTATTTCCAGTTTAATAAACAGAATGCGTTTGGAACACGTACACCTGACCCATATTCCTCTCGCAAGCATTCCAGGAGTAAGTCTGTAGGCGAACATGTGGTATGTTTATACAGATCATGAGACCTCCATTGCTTCTTAGAGAGAAACTATACAGTGCGGCATGAGCAAATTTACGGTCTACACTACTTTCAATAGCTGGTTTTCTTTTGCCAACACCTGGTATAATGGTCACTTCAACCAGGTAACAGTACATGATTCATTTGGGTATTTCCACCTTAACTTTATAAAAAATAATGACAATAAATGAACACCAGCACGTGAATTATAAAAATGTTTTTACCAAACTTTTTATTAAATTATTGCCTATACTCATACAAACTGATTGATTGGTTTGTTTTTGTAATAGCATTAGCATGGTACTTGCTTCATGAATTGAACAAGAACTTTAAAAGGATCTATTAGCTTTGTTTTATATGTATATAGGTTGTTTCTTACGACAAAATTTATGTGCTTAACCATTTCTTAGCTGCTACTCTGCATTCATTATCTTGTCTTGTTCATCAACTTATTTTTCTTAATGTTCTTTAAAGAGGAACATGTTGTTTCGTCAACATAAACGACAGAAGTCTTCGGGTGCCTCAGAAGAAGAGGGCTTAGATATAATACAGCAGCAGGTAAATTAAGTGCTTAATTTGCCCTCTTTGGCTTCGAGAAGTAGAGGGCATGTGTTTTGTTTAGTGGGTATACGTGAAACAACAGAAATTACAGACTTAAATTTATATATATAAATAAGTGAGATCGGAAAGTCCAGCTGTGCTATGTAGGTCACAGAAAAAGGGGTATAAAATGACGAGGCGCGCTTAGGAAAGTACATGATTAATCTAAACACTAATAACAACCACAATCATATTTGTAAATGTTTATGTAAACAGAAACGCACCTGTGAATTGAAGTACGATGTTAGTGAAGATAATTATATATCAAAAACCTAGAATAGTCCTATCTTACCCATGTTATAAAAGGGCTGTTTGTGCCCCCTCTTATTTGATCTCAATATGGCGGCGGGGACTTTCCGATTTGGCTTATTGTGCCAATACAAGTAAAGCCTAAAAAAACTGGTAAATGTGAAAGTATAATAGAAAATATCCAGTTTAAATGTTTAGATATTCTGAGTGCGCAGGTAGCTGCTAGGGTTGAATAGCATCTTACCATGATTCAAAAATGCAAATGATAAAGCTGACCTTTTGCTAAGGGACTGCTTGCAAAACTCTTGAAAAACATATAATCAGGAAAGTGTTTCTTTTTACGTAGATTCGCAACTTATAAGGCTTGTCTATTTGATATGTTTTAGGAGAACCTGATCAATGAGAGAAACAGCATCTATACCAGAAGTATGCGCCATACCTATGAAATGCAAGCCAAGAACGCTATCACTTCACGACAGCCAACAGCCAAGGCCACAGTCATCAGTGTCCGTGAGGTTTGTATTGTAGAAACATCTATGTCCCTCATTGCATTTGTGTGCTACTGATAACAGGGCAGGGTTAGAAATTAACTTTTAACCAGGCAACAATTTCTTGCTGCCAGCAAATTTACTCACCCGTGCAGAATCTTTAGTGCTTTTACTAGGGTTTATTAGGAATTTCCGACAATGAGAGAAGGCAGCAAACTGAATCTTGCAGGTAGTAAAACTGGGGCTGGTTGCTCTTAAGTTTGAACCCTGCAGGCCTGGAAAGTCCTGGAAAATTAGCTATTAATAGTATTATGCTTGGTCCTGGAAACGTCATACCACGTCTATTGTGTCCACTTTTTACTATTGATAGTAACACACTTAAAATACTGAAACCCTGTTTACTGTCTGTGAGGCAATGAAACCTGCTTAAAGCAAAAGTGCTTTCACTAATTGTGTGTTGGAAGATACGGGATACAATGGTTGTGTTTGGTTTGAATTTCATAATGAAAGTCTTGTAGATCCCCTAGTTCCATGCATTTAGCAGGAACATAGCCCTCATGATTGGAGAGAGACTATTCGAACAGTGTGACTGGCCATGGTTAAACATTCTGATGCTCAGGTATAATCAGAATGCATGTCTGCAGCCTGCAATTTCTTCACATTCTTCTCTACCAGGCAAAAAGCCCGGTCATCAACTTTGTTGAAGTCGCAACAGGAGCCAGAGAGCCCATGAAGCCACTGATGCAAGCCCACAGGCGCAGTAGAACTGGTGGAAGTGGAACTACAAGTACATCGAGTGTAGGGTACGCATACGCTTACATGTACTAAATATGTATCGCGATGAGATTTTTGATTGATTAAAATAAATAAATAGAATAATAATAAGAAGAAAGGAAGAGGTGAGGGACCATTAACAGTTATCAATATAATAACATGTTTATAATATAATAACCAGGGTTCTCCCCTAGCCTTTAACACGTGGCTGATCCAACATGCCTTCCAAGCATAATTAGAAAGAATAAAAGTTAATTTGCAACATCCCTGGCATGAATCCCCCGACGTGGCATTTCATATTTAACACTATAACATTGATCATGAGTAGATTGTAGTAGAAAGTAATAATGATACGTGTTCCACTACATTTTAATCGCTACATTAACGCGTTTGTCGCGATAACGCAGACGATGTCCCGACCAGTGCAAGTGCCACCGCGTGCTGCAGCGACGCTGTCCGAGCGAGGAGGCCCTGACCAAAGGTCAGTGCGTCTCAGCGAGGTCACTGCTGCAGAGCGAGCAGCACGCGTCGGCCGGCAATCTGCGGCAGAGCTCGGCGACGTCGCTCGGAGCGAGCCGGGAGCGTCTGCTGCGCGCGACGGCGCACAATGCCAGCTACAGGCTGCGCAACCGACGCAGCCTGTCCAGCCTCAAACTGCAGGCCGGCGTCGCGCGGAAATCCGATTCCGCTATCACTGCCCGAGAGAAGATGGCGCTGCGGTCGTCCGTCGTGAGACCAATAGGTATTAGCCATAAAAAACACAGGTCTCCATTTCAGTTTGCGGCGAGATTTTTTTAGGAAGGAGGGTGAAGCAGTTTTATGATTCGGAACTAGGTATCCAGTCAGTAACCTGTTATTTTATGTATAGGCTTTTGTAACTTTATGATAACATTGGGGTGTGTAATGTATACACAGTATCCAAATCCAAATACATGCGGCTATAACCACTTTTTTGCAGGAACACGGTTAGCGTACCACGAGAAGCATATGGAATCACCTATAACCCAATCAATGGCAGTTGCACCGAAAGCAATGCAGGTGAGTTGCCTTTTGTGTGATGTGATTATAAATGTGTAGCAGATAACATATAGTGCTGTAGCTGCAAAGACCAAAGTTATGTAGACATACCTGCAAAGAGCACGTACAACAAGCAACAAGCAATGAACTGGTAAATTTACACAAATAAAAATTCATTAGTTTATATGCAACTTTGTTTTTTGGATGCGTATGTTGCGTATATGCATACATGTGTAACTACAATACATGTACATATGTTTATATATATGCATATATATATATATCTGCATGGTGTCAGGTCTATGATGCAGTGGGTGCATGCTTTACACAAACATACCTATAAAATTATGTTACCTCACAAAAACATATCACTTTCACACCCAACAAACTGCACTTTGAAATTCACATCATATGTATATATATATATACATACATGCATGCATACATATGTACATTTATTGTTCATATTGTTGACTAATACACATTGGTTGGTATACAGTGTCACTTGAGGAAACTACAATATTTTTTTAGCATGACTATTATATTGTTTTCAGTTGTTATATCTATTAGTATTAATGATTTCATTTTGTTTCATAGCCGTTTCATTAACATATTTACTAATAATAATATTCGTAGGTGTTCGAATACTTACAGTTAACATAATTGGCGATTTACATGCAAAATGACTTCTAAATAATTCAGTTGCCTTACTGACATACTTAGCATTGCTAGCATATTACGTATGTTGTGTGATTTTCACTAACATTTGATGTATTTTTTGTTTGACGGCCAGGATTCGGTGCTAGTTCCCCGCTCTCGTCTGGCTATAGCTGTGGTGTATGAATCACCTGTCTAACACAATTCACCCCTTGTGCTAACAGTGTGAGTTTACTGACTAGTGGTAGTCATAACATTATCATACCACAATAGTGTGGTAATGTACATCGTATCAGGAGTAGATAATAGGGAGGAGTGTGACATCAATAAACAAGGGAAATTCGTCATTTACTAGCCTTATAATACCTACGATTTACTACGCGTAACTCATCCAACTTGAGCTCAAA